AATAAATTTGGTGGTGAATGAATTAACTTACATATATATCACAAAAATATTCTTATTAACTGGTTTACCTTACTAAAAGCACTAACTCTTTTTCTTTCTAGTTCTCTATTAAAAAGAGACTTAAATGTTCACAAAAGTAATAAAATCCCACGTACCCATCACCAATCCAAACATAATTAATTCATGGCCAATTTTATACTACCCATAATCCCACCTACACTTCTATCTAGCATAATATTTAGAAACCAATTCTAAACATTGCATGATCTCATCAGTGTATATTTGAACAAGATCTCCAAATAAATTTTAAAGCACAACCATGATATGATTATTCCACTAAAATATAATTTATTAATATCATCTAATATCCAGACTGTGTCAAATTTCCAATTATTTCATTAGGTTTTTTTAAGGTTGTTTAAATCACTATCTAAGAATTATACACATTGTGATGGGTTGCTCTATTTTTACATTTCTTTTAATCTATAAACTTCATTGGCATCTCTTTTTGTTCCTGGTAACTTATTTGAAGGAACTGGATTGTTTACATTGTAGGTTCCCATACCTGGATTCTGCTTACTTCATGTTATGGTACAGCGTATGGCACATTCCTCACCCCTCTATTTGTTGAAAATTGGAGGCTATATTCTTTTCATTGCTTTTCCTTTCTTTCTTTCTGTTTCCTTTTTCACTTTTTTGTTAGTTCTAGCTATCATTTTAATGGTTGGTTAAGTTTTACCTTACATTTTGCCACTGTTTGCCTTATTGTGGTTCCCAGACTTTTATCCAAGGGTCTTTGAATGTTTCTCTAGTGCTACATAATAAAAAAATTCCAGTCTTGTACACGAATGTCCTGTGCACATGTCTTTTCTTTTAACTGTGCTTCTTACCATCACGGCTCTCCTCCAAATACATTGGCTTATTAATTTCAACTTTAAAAGGTGTTCTTGGATTTAAAAATGATATTCTACTGCTTTTCTTGAACATAATCTGGAAGTAATTAGACTTGAACCTAGTGCTTTATTCTCCGCACCCCACCCCCCCAGACACACATCATCTCCACTTAGGCCAGAGTAGCTGCTCTTGATTTTGGCAAGATAAACACAGATATATAAGTTGGATCTCTTCCTTTTCTTAGTTTCATGATCTGTTGCCCTAGATGATATAGCTTGTGTATATACTTGTTAACTAGTCTGGCTGTGAATTATTGATCTTTTTCTTTGAGAGCAACAGTGAGTTCTCATGTAGTATAGTATAGGTTTTGTCAAAGCAGTGCATTGTGTGAAATAAATGAGCATTTATCAAATCCTCTTAAAGGTTTGTTAAAGAAGCAGTGAAATGTGGTTGGACTATGCATGCATAGTAAAATAATCCTCCTCCTGAATCCTGAATAATAGTTTAAAAGTTGAGAGAATGACATGTTACAACTTAAAAAAAAAGAATTTTCCTCAACTGAATGTCTTAGTAATGCTAAGTTAATTGTATATAGACTTCTCTGACTAGAATACATTATGTAAATATTTTATACCCTTGTATTTTGGGGGTCCCTAGACCCAAAGAACACAATTTTGTAAGTGTTATTGTAAAGCATAATTTGACTATGTATTAGTTAACTGGCAATTTGAAAACCTTACATATTTAATCAACTTTTTCAACAAAGCTATTAAGAATTAATTAAAATTCACTTAATTATCAAATTGTTCAAGTGGTATTTTTACATAGTGATTTGTGCTGTCAAATAGATGCTGAAATTGGTAGTTGAGAGTTCATATGAACCTCTGAAGGGGAACTAGCTTTGGCACTTGTCTAGGAATAATTGAGCCTCTGGAAAGAAAATAGAAAGTTATTTATAGTCTTCAACCTTAGTGCTGTTTGAGTCTGATCCAGTCTGTGGCCAGCTTTAACCTACCCAAAGTAGCATGAGCCAAACCAGAATGAGGGCCTAGTGTTGGCCCCCATTAACTTCCAGGTTAATAGCAGGCTAACTATTAATCTCAAACAGCAAGAGGAAGTATTCAACATGACTCTATAATCAGAGGTGTGGGTGTGAATCCTAGCTATACCTTATAAATCTGTGTGAATTCAGGCAAATTTCTAATATCTCTAAACCTCAGGTTGCTGTTTATAAATAACAATAATAAAGTATCTATTTCATTTGGCTGTCCTGGGGATTAAATGATCATACGACAACCTTCATACTGCGATTGATATGTAATATCTTCTGAATAAATGTGAATTGTTATTATCATTGTCATTATAATTATGTTTATTAATTTATCATGACCAGAATCAAAAGTTGTCATGTTCCTAAAATAATTTGGGATTCAACTTTTTCCTAGTTCTAATTAATCTATTGCTCTGTACCTAAAAGACAATTCTATATGTTGCATTATTTCCTTTCTTTTGTCACATGAAATAATCCAGCTTGGAATATACAGTGGAAATCTACATGAAAAGCTCAGTCAAGTGTAGAGACATGCCCTGCATTCTGGTTGAATAAGCACTGGGATTAATCCAAGGAGACATGAATTGTACCCTCAGACCTCCTCTAATTATTAATGACCATCAGAGAGCCATATAGCTGTACAAGCCTTAGTTGTTCAAAAATTCAGGTGCTGACAGTGCACTACAACACTGTCAGGGGCTACTTTAGCTCTAACTTTTTTAAGTGCTACAAGATGTTTACTTGCTTTGTGATAAATGAATCAGAAGAATAATCACAAGAGTAGTTGTCACAAGGCTACTAATGCAGTGCATATATTTCAATAATGTGTCCAAAAGTGGTGCAAAAGAAATATGGAAGATGAGAGGAAAGAATGCTTCAGGCTGCACCAAGGCTCTATACAAAAGTGCACCTCTAAAAGAAGGCTGGATGAGACACAGCAAGTAGGAATCATGAAGACAAGATGAAAAGTGTGCAGGAGAGCAGCATGCAAGAAGCTGTGCAGATAACCTCTGAGGATGACTGTGGTACTAACCTTAGAAGTTAAGCTCATTGGAGTTGACAGTCTAATTATCATTTGAGAAATATGAATAATAAATCATTCTAGAAAATGATAAGAGCACAAAATTGATGTTCAAATGACATAAATCCTATGAACTGTTAATGCCAGAGAGTAGAAAATGACCATCATTTAGGAGCTAGGTAGACTTTATACATGTTTTATTTGTTACTGATTCAATGAATTTTAATGGGTGACTCCAGGAGGTCTTCCATAAACACTTTAAACTCTCCCACAGAAACAAAAGTTCTACTTCATATTCTGGAATTCTCCTGTAAAAAGTTTTATAAATTAAGCGTAAAGGTCTACAGAGCATAATCTATAGACAAGCCAAAATGTTTTGGCCAAGTGACCTCCTGAATCAGCTGGCAGTCCTGTGCAGACATAGAGAAACATACTCATAGGTATATTAATAACTCCTGCAGGGCTAAGCAAGAAGTTTTATAGAAAGCACACTTTAAGACAAACTAAAGGCCATATGACTCAGAATATCTAAGAAATAGGAAAAATGCTATTTATATTTAGTTAGCAAATTCTCAACTAAAATTGGTGAAGAGTAAACCTGATATCCTCTTACAGAAAAGCAAACACACAAACTAGATTTCAGGGAGCTAGCTTCTAATCTTGGCAATACTGGGGTCTTGAGCAAGTCACCGAACATCTGAGCCACAGTTTCTATTTCTGCAAAATGGAGATAATAATGCTGACTTAATTGAATTGTGTGAAGTTTAAGTAAGTAAACGCATCCAAAGTCCTGAGCAATACCTGATATACATAGAAATTTCTCAATAATAGTTTTTGTTAATTTTGGGTGTCAGGCTAAATTTCTCAATGGGAGGTACAAGTAAGATATGTCTCCTTGTAAATGTAAAGAAATCCTCAACTCTAAAATCACTGTGTGTCTATAGTAATGTCTACCCCAAGAGCCAAAACCTCATTTTCTATTTTTCAGTTGTCCGATTAAAAACAAACCAGCACAGCATTCAACTTGGAAGCCATCGAGAGCACCACCTGTCTGATTTTCTTACAGCTGTCAGAAGCGAATTTCAGACCCACCTCACAAATTTTTACCCCAGCTAGAACCAGATTTAACATGCTTTAGTTCTTTTAAAGGGTCTTTTTATTTTAAGAAAAAAAATATATAATACATATATATTTACATACATGCATATGTTTTATGTATATTACATATCTAAAATGATTACTACCATGGTGAAATAATAAAAATTATGTTTTACTTATTGCATGTACCTTTTCAGAATAAGCATTGAAAGAACAAACATTTATTTTAATATAAAGATAGAACTTATCATTTGGGGGAAAAGAAACATGAGCAAGTAAAAAAGAAATGGAATTTGGCCACTTTTAAATTGCTTTCTTTTAAAAATCATATTGATCTACAGTGATTCCATGCAATTCCAAACCTTGTATATCTGAATATCCAGCAATAGTAAAATATAAACAAATTTTGCAGGAGGGCTTGTGTCTTACATTGTATACAAATCTATGTGTGTGTGTATTTATACACTCTGGTTAGAAAAGAAAAACAAATTTAAGCTCTCCATGTTAAAATATCATTAGGCAAAATGCTCAAAATCATTTTTCTAAGTTTAAACATTAAATGCAAGATTTCAAGTTCAAGTGGTCACCATACTTGCAAGTCTCATAGTTTGTGCTAGGTAAGATATCAGCCGTGTTACATGACCATGGCTATTTATAGAGATGCGGGTGACACTAGTAAGTAGTGGGGACTTTGGCACAGCAAAGTTTCCACATGCAAAATTTCAGAGAAACCTCTTCTCATCCCCTCAACACACAGATCTGTCCGCTCTCAGTTCCCAAATCCACTTCTCTGGTCCTGTATAGAATCATCTGATCAAGACAATTAACTAAAAGCAACATTTTAAGGTCTAGTCAACACATTGACTGTCAATGTGGCTGTGAATTTCTACCTTTTTCTATTTTCTAGTTGAGACTATTGGAAAATGGTAGCAATACCTTCAGCAGTAATCTCAGTCATGGTGGTTCCAGAAAGGAAAAGGCAGGCCAAACGTTCCGGTCAAGTGGCACTTTGCAGAACACTTTAGGATTTGAGAACTCTGATGGGGGTGTTCTGTGGGACAACCGGAGGGCTCTTCGTTTTCCTGGCTGTTTCTGCTGCTCCTTTGTTGTCTTGCTGAACTTTGTCTCTGCAGAGTTCTCCCCCTGGAAACAACCTGAGCCCTTTCCAAGCAGCACTTGTGGCTCATGCAAAAGTATCAGCTTCGAATAAAAATAGCCTCATCTCCCTAGGACTCTTCTGCACTTTTTCTTTTTTTTTCCTTTGGCACTAGGGAAACACACACACACACACACACACACACACACATGTGCACACGCACTCACACACACACACACATACCAGCTCCCCAGACCCAAAAAGAGACAAGCAAAAAAAAAAAAAAAAAGGCAAATGAACTAAAAAGTACTGTCTAAGTCCCGGCAGTTTTCTTAAGATAATTACAGATCTTGGGGTCTATGTCAGGAAACATAAAATAACAAGTTGAAAGTAATCTTATCCATGATAGCTCAGATTTATTCTTAGTGCCCTTAATGCTCAGAACATTCCTCTTCCCCTTATTTGGTGTGGGGAGGGTCCTGCGATGTCTAGGAGAGGCAAAGGGAGGGTAGTCTTAAGTCATTTTCTTCACCTTCATTCCCGATTAGTCTAAATCCACATGGCAAGTGCAGTTATTTATATAGGGCTACACTTAAAGTTGCAACTCTTAACATCCTGAAGCTTCCTTGAAGGATGTGAAGATTTTCCAAACACCGGCCAATAAGAAAAATATAATATGGGGTTTTATTGAAACGGGAACAGATGAATTATCTAGATCTTTAATTAACTTTAATACCTTACTAAAAACAAAATATCTGAACTTATTTATTCAATAGAAGAAAAGGAAGGTGATGCAAATTATGAAAAATCATAGCCTACATTTTAGTAAAAGATTTCAGCTTTTCCCTACCTCAACTTCAAAATAAATAAATAAATAAAAAGGATCATAGCAGCTAACAATTAGCCAGATTGGCTGATTAGCATTTCACTTTTCCACTCCTAGCCAGATGTTAATGAGAAGAGAAATATTCAACGGTTGGTGGCTGAAAGGAGAAGGAGAATCAAAGGGCATCCAAAATCACAAATTCTAGCTAATCTGTGACGATTCAAGGGCTGACTAGCCTTATCTTTTATTTTATTCTCATATTCAACCTAACAAATGTCTATGGTTTAAACTTGGAGCCTTAACTTGCTGCCTTTGGTTGTCAAACCCCTTGAATTTGCATGGTGCTTTAGAGATCATAAAGCAAAATCACGTGAGTTGTTTTAGTATTTGCGACTCCAGAGACGGCTGCAACAGCTATTTCCAGCGACCTCCTCTGTGCTAGCAGTTCTGCATTTGCTGCCCCCATTCCTTGCACAATAGGAAGTGTTCATATGCCTGCTGAATAAAAAGATAACTAAGTAAACAAACTTAGCTCACAAAAAAGGAAATAATTTCAGGTAACACTTGTGATTTTATACAAGATCTTACACCAAGGAGTGAGCCTAGAGGGTTTTGACTACAAGTTTGACACCTTGCCCAAGAGGTAAGGCTTTGCTACATGTACTACCAATTGTAGCTGAAGGGAATCCTTACAAATGAGGCCCACCAGGAGCTGGAAAGATGCAAACTCCTCCCCGCACGGCTCATGGAGCCATGGGCTTGTATCTGCTTTCTATGGCAGGGAAGATACAAGCTAAAAGCAGAACCTTCCTCACTTGGCCCCCAAAGTCATCTCCATTCAACTCCACAGTGCTTCTGATTGTAAGAAAACATTAAGTGTTGTCTTGGCTGGTGTGGCTCAGTTTGTTGGAACATAGTCCCATAACCCAAAGTTTGAGGGTTTGATTCCTGGTCAGGGCACATACCTAGGCTGTGGATTGGTTCCCTGATTGATGTTTCTCTCTTGCATTGATGTTTCTCTCTCTCCCTTTTTCTCTCTCTAAAAGCAATGAAAACATGCCCTCCAGTGAAGATTTAAAAAAAGAAAGGAAAGATAAGTGGTTTCCATTTTCATTTGTCAGAAGCTTTCATAGTCTTTCACTGCAGTTAAATGAAAAATTAATAATTCTTTATGTAACTCATTAACAATTTACATGGGTCAAGGCCTAAACAAAATTAGTTAAGTCAGAGGAGTAACCATACACACACAATCTCAAACTCTTTTTTTTTATTTATTCACTTTGAGAGAGAGAGAGAGAGAGAGAGAGAGAAACATCAATGTATGGTTGCTGGGGGTTATGGCCTGCAACCCAAGCATGTACCCTGGCTGGGAATCGAACCTGCAACACTTTGGTTCGCAGCCCGCGCTCAATCCACTGAGCTACGCCAGCCAGGGCTCAAACTCTTTGTTAATAAAAGTTGAAATAAGATGACATTGTAAGAATATGAAAATCCCAGTGTTTAATGTTATTCAAATTCCCATTTACGAATATGTTATACATACTAGAAGGAAAAAAGAAGAGTAAAAAATATTCTAGCCAGTGAGTATGTTCCCAGGACAATAAGTTTTTATAAACACATCTGTTGGATGGGTTAAAAATCTTATTAGACATTAAGAAATCAATATACATCTCATTTTCAAAGTTATTAGAACTCTCTCATGTTATTTTAAACTCAATTCATGAACTTTACCTTTGAGTTTCACATGGAACTCTATGAAGCTTTTCAAACCAAGCAACTGACATTCCTCTAAGGGTATGCACCCCATTCTTTAGGACACTCAAAAAATAAAATTTAAAAAATAATACATTTGCATTTTTCACTTTTTGTCTTTATTTTTAAGAGGTATTAATTTTAAAGAGGTTTTTCCTGTTCATTGGGCTTGTTCACCATGATACAAAAGTAATGGTTCCCTCTTCTCACAATACCTCTGATGTACTCCTACATTTTCTATTTCTGTAAAATTGGCACATATTTGGCACACATATTGGCACACATATTGGCACATCTTGGTTTTGCCCACAAGAATAACTTCATGTGCAACCTAGGGTCCTTGTGACTTTGATTATACTTAGCTTTAAATCTTAGCTCTAGAATACATCTCTCTCTTTCTACACACACACACACACACACACACACACACACACACCTCAGAAACCTAGCTTTTCTCACAGATAATCAGCAACCCTTGAGGCATCAGAAGACAGTAACCTGCAACTGACTAATGACCACAAGGTCAGAACCTCTGGCAGGTTAGAGATGACACGTTAACCTAAGTGATGTTTCAGCTCCTGAGCCCTAAGGTAGAACAATCCCTTGAATACTTTCTCATGAGACCAGACAATGAAATACAGGACAAGACCTCAGAGCTGTCCTTAAGACCTCCAGAAATGATTTATTACCCTCACCTCACCAATCTGCTCCCAGTATGACCCTGACCTTATATCATCTGTAACCTACCTGCCATTGAGATGTTTGATCATTTGAGCATTAGCTTCCTGTTCTCCCGGGTGGCATCATTCACCATAAAATAGCCAGTATTCTCCACTGCAATTCTCATTGTGTAGTGTTTGGCTCTGCTAGTGACAGGTAGACCAACTCTTTCTGTTCCATAACATATGCATGAAAAACAGCTGTTCCTGTCATTAACTGGTTGAGTCTATGCAAGTCAATGGCATGGAGAGTCTGTTCTCTTGTTGGGTGTCCATTTAGTCCAGCTCCCTCTATAACATGATTATACTGATCATTATTCTGTGATTTTTACTAGGTGTTCTAAATGTTCAAGTTAATAGACAAAACTATTCCTACTTAGAGCAAATTTTTTTTAAAATTGGCTACTCTAACAGCTATTGTCATAAACTAACAGTCAGTAAGATGTATACTGTGTTTGGCTATGAACAAAATGTCATCTACATTGAATTTCAGAATGTAAATGATTCAGGAAGCAACCAAAGAGGCTTTGATGACCTGTTTTTCACTAAAAAAATCATAAAATAAGGCAATAATTTTTTAATTTTTTAAATAAGCTGATGAAAGAGATATAATTTGGAGTCAATAGCTTTTTACTAGAAGTCTCTGTTTCTCAAGGACTGGAGGTTACTGAGAGAAAATAAAGTTTTAGGGTTACTTCTCAGGATCTTCTATTTCTTAATTTACAGAAACAAACAGCTTGTATTTGAATCGGCTATACATACACTGGTGATAAGTAGAAATAAAGAAATTAAAAAAACATTTTGTACAATATTATACATTTAGATTGCAAGTAAAATTGTGGAACAATTAATTGAGATATAAAGTGTTCATTACTTAGATCTTAAAATAATAATAAGCATAACTTTTATGTGAGCTTAAATTTTCAGGTTCATTTTAATAGGAGACAAAGATAAATAACCAACTGGAATGATTTGGGGGAAAAAGAGGAGAGGCAAAATTGTAAGCTACTATTTCACTGCCTGGGCTAAAGTAACTTACCAGGAAACATAAACAAAGGGAAAATGCTTTACTTTTAGCCCTATAGGTGAATAAAAACTTGGCAAAAAATAAATTGATACAGAAAAAAATAAATATTGACTGTTTTAAACTTCAGAATAAAGAAATATAGAAGAAACTGGAAACACTGAAAGTGAACTTGAGGGCCATTTCATTGTATTTGCTTTCATCTGACCTTGAAATCTCATCACATGACCTAGAAATTCCTCTGAGGCTCCCTTGATAAACTTAGTCTTCAGAATCACAAGAAAAGCCTCAACTGAACTATTAGTTCATTAATCTTTGTTAATCTCAGCACTACTGTTGAGTTCATTTTCAATTGTTTTGTGTTCTGTTTGTGTCATGGAAAATCTTGCTCTGTCTTCACAAGCTTCTCTAAGTGACCTGTACTTATTTCTTTAATCAAAGGTTGAAAGCCATTCCATAGGTTTGGCTTACCATCTGATTATTTAGAAACCGTGTAATCCAGCTCGTTTCAAATGACAGAAGACATTCCAGGGCAATTAAAAACTTTCCTCTCTTTAACTCTGACTCATGAATAGCTGAGTCTCCAATATCAGGCTTCTCTCCTCACACACATTTGACATTGTCAAACATTCTCTTAGAATTTTGCCTACGTCAATCCAGTCTCCAATTTAAAAAGGCTTTGAATGCCCCTTCCTTCTTAGAGATTCCATTCCCTGAGGAGCTGGCTTCTGTCCACTACCACTGTCCTCTTTATGAGGACCTGCAATGTCCTGTAGTAGGCGGTCCCTGTGAAGTCATAATTTAGAACATTGCTTTATGCTCTG